GATGCTACGGTGCAGTCCGTCTGCAGTGGCAAGTCATGCACGATATAATGACTCTGCTGTCAAATAGAGAAACTGGTCCCAGTTTGCAGCCGAACTCATCATCCGGAATGATAACATTCATAATATTCATCACTCCAAAGACCACAATAATAGTGCCAACGTGCTGAAACACTCCCCAGGCAGCAGTGGTTTTGAAGGCACGGCATGTGAAAGTCCCCCTCCTGGAGGCATTCTGTGATGCGGTATCATTAACAGAATTAGGTGCAGCAGTATTTTATCTCCTGCATACGCCAAATTTTGTGGTGAATATTTCCGAGATGGAAATGGATCCAGGAGACGTCTGCAGGGGATGGCAGGTAATCTGAAAGGGAGCCCAGTCCCAACCCCGGTGGCAGCAGGCTGCTTTACAGGGCACAGGGGGAGATTTTTACAATCAGGGAGACCAACAGGGTCCTTGCAGGGACCCTACAGGGGAAAAGCCCGAGGACAACACACGAAAAAGGGACAGCTGGAGTCTGCGCTCGAGGGAGCCATGGATGGAGAGTTCCAAGAGAGGGAAGGAAGTCTGGAGGCTTGTCACTTCTGGCAACAGAACAAAGGCTCCTTCTCTGCAATCCCAGAACAGGTAGCGCCCTGGGAACAGGCTCTGCAGGAAAGCCAGGTGAGGTGACGCGTGCTCTGGGCAAAGGAATAGCCCAGACGCACAGGGGTTTGCCTCGGAGCAGGTGATGAGTCAGCTGAGAGCTTGTGGGTGAGGATCTAGGGAAGATCCTGCTTGTGAGCAGGACTGGGGCAGTGATCATCCCCCTGTACTCGGCACTGGTGAGGCCCCACCTCAAGTACTGTGTTCAGGTTTGGGCCCCTCACCACAAGAAGGACATTGAGGTGTTGGAGTGTGTCCAGAGAAGGGCAACAGAGCTGGTGAGGGGTCTGGACGAGAAGCCTTATGAGGAACGACTGAGGGAACTGGGGGTGTTCAGGCTGGAGAAAAGGAGGCTGAGGGGAGACCTTATCACCCTCTACAACTACCTGAAAGGAGGGTGTAGAGAGGTGGGGTTGACCTTCCTGGTGACAAGTGACAGGACGAGAGGAAATGGATTCAAGTTATGTCAGGGGAGGTTTAAATTGGATATTAGGAAACATTTTTTCACTGAAAGGGTTATCAAACATTGGAACAGGCTGCCCAGGGAGGGGGTGGATTTGCCATCCCTGGAGGTGGTTAAAAAAAGGGTAGATGTGGTGCTTGGGGACATGGTTTAGAAGTGGTTTTGTCAGGGTAGGTTGATGGTTGGACTTGATGATCCTAAAAGTCCCTGCCAACCTCAGCAATTCTATGATTCTATGATCAGGGGACAGACCAACATGGGTGACATCGTGGCAGACATCTGCTACAGACCCCCTGATACGAAGTCTCCCTTGGATGGCTGGAGGAAGCCTCCTGATCGCAGTCCCTTGTACTCCCGGGGGACTTCAACCACCCTGGCATCTGGTGGGAGGGCAGCAGGGCTGGATGCAAGCAACACAGGAGATTTCTGGATAGTGTCAAGAACGATTTCTTGACACAGCTGACTGACCAGCTGAGCAGGGGGGACGTCCTTCTGGACTGCTACTGATGACCAAGGAAGAGCTGGTCAAAGATGTGAAGATGGCGAGAAGTCTTGGCTGAGACTGTGAAGTTGAGTACCCCAAGAGAAGTGATCCAAATATAGAGCAGAATCAAATCCCTGAACTTAAGAGAGCAGATTTTGGGTTGTTTGGGGATCTGCTTAGCAAAATCCCATGGGAGACTGCTCTGGAGGCCAAGGAGGCCAGGGCATCTAGGTCATCTTCAAGGACACCTGCCTTGAAGCACCAGAATGGCCTGTTCTGATGGCAGTCAGGCGCCAGTGTGGCAGAAGGCCAGCATGGATGAACAGCAAGCTCCCAAATAAGCTTTTTGCTACACGAAAAGGCAGAACCTAGAAGATGGAAAGGAGAGCTGAGCCACCCGGGAGGAAGACAGTGCCATCCCTCCAGTGTGCAGTGATGGAGTGAGAAGAGCAGCTGTAGGTACACCAGTGGCAACAAAAAGGCTGAGGCAAGTGTAAGCTCACTGCTCAGGGGGGTAGAGGGCCCAGGGACCTGCTGACAAAGCACATGGAAAAGGCCAAGGTACTCAGTGTTGCTTTTTTTCTTCTTGGTTTTCAGTGCTCCGGTCTGGTCTGTCTTCTGGCCTCTCAGGTCCCTGGGCCTAGTGGCAGAGCCTCTGGGAAGGAAGAATTACCTACTTTACCCTTCCTCTGCTTAGCTTCTTTCCTGCCCACCCTCTCTGAAAAGGGCACAAACTCCTGTTGGGAGCGCATATTTTGGACTTTGATCTCCCCAGGTGACATTGGAAACTTCACCAAGACCAAGCAGAGATTTGGGTGCAAAACCAGGGCAGCCAACTTTGCACTGGAAGTGGGGCTGAGAGGAAGTATTTGGCCAGCTCCCATTGACTTTCCATGGAAATTGCATGCCTGACTCCCCTGGGGTCTAAAATGCTCTCCCTCCCCGAGCTGGGGCTAACACCGCTGTGAAGCACCACTCTGCTTGGCCATAGTACTTTCACATGAGCTCTGGGTCAGTGAACTCCCCTACAAACAGGGGTGCTCAGCCCTGCTGGTCCCCAGGAGACATCCTACCATTGTCTACAGGTGGGACCTACACCCAAGTCCTATTGGATCTTCCCTACTTGTCACCACGGGGAAGAGGTTCATGGCAGGGAAGCCGCTGTGTGGGGTATTGCCCAAGCGTTGGCAGGTCTGGTTCCTGCCTTGCGTAAACTATGTCTTTCCCACTTGTGATGGATTCCTTCCTCCTGTTTGAAGTAACTGGACTTTGGTCCAGGCGGATGCTCAGGAAGCCCTAACAAAGCTAATCCTGTTCTGTGAGGCTATCAGGGAGAACTCAGCACCCAAACCAATAAACCGTTTTGGCTGGAGACCGGGCTGATAAGTGGCCGAAACTGCATGAACACAGCAGAAAATCTGACGATGAATCAACCACTTTACGCTATGATTATCTGCAGCCATCAGGGCCCGTTGAGCTCTCCCTCCACAGCAGCTGGCTGCGCGGCGGAGATCTCCCCTCGAGTAGGTCAAGGTCAAGGTCACCCCTCGAGGCTGAGAGATCCCTTACCTGGCACCAGACATCCATGGTAAGTGACATTTTTTGCACGATGTAACTTTTAAGATAAGTATAGTAAGCTCACACCATGATCTGTGTATCCCATACTAACTTTAAGTGTAGCAGAGTATTGACCACCAACCCAATGGTACTTATTAAATATTTTGCATACCTAAATTTACTGATTAGAACTCAATAAACTAACTGCCAGATCAGATCTGTCTGAGTGACCTCTGACTCTTCTCCTGTGGCACCACTGCCCCTCAGAGCCGAGGGTAGATAATGTTTTTAGGGACCGGTGTGGGCACCGTGTCCATGGACAGGAGGCGGTAAAGGCTACAGGTATGTGTGTACGCCAAAGAGACGCAGGATAAAGGAGTCGCTCCCCAGGAACTGAAAAGACTTCAAAACTCTTCAGTGTTGTTAGGTCAGGAGCAAAATATAAAGGATGGCTTTTGTGAGTCACCTTGCAGTGTTTAAGAGAACATCCCTGCAGATGAACTGCACACGTAGACCTGCCCCATGCTGAGCAGATGTGAGCCTGTCTGATCTTGGCAGTAAAATATTTCTGATCTCAATGCCACTTTAGGATAAGAGAGTTACAGAAAATAGAGATGGAAGGGAGCTGAAATAGTCATCTTGTTCATCTACTCTTAATGAAGACCAGCTCTTCTTAAATCACTGCCAGCAGATGTCTGTCCACTCTGTTTTCTTATCCCACTAATGGCACAAAAGTCCACGTTTTTTTTGTTGACAGGCTGTGTGCTGCTTTATCATCATTAGCATCAGCAAGTTTCCCCCTAATTTCTACCATCTGTTTCCCTTGATGAAATTCAAACCTGACCTCCCTTATCCTATTTGACACCGAGATAGAGGTCAGCTTTTGCCTTTCTTCTTTATAGTGTCTGTTATGATGTCTTCTTTCCCCTTAATCATCTCTTCTTAGATTTAGCAGGAGTTATGGACTTCAGCTATGAGGCCCCAGACAGCTGCAAGACCCCGTTCAGATCCCTCATCCATCATGACTAAGGTGGGGAAGAGTAGACGACTACAAACAAGCTGGGAAATGTTTTGAGTTAGAGGAGCTTTTTTGGCCGTAAGAAGAGTGCCGCCACATGCAATGTGGTGCGGTCACCCCAGCGGTGAGGAGGAAGAAAGGGATGCTGAGCTTCATCCTCACTTCTGCTGCCACCCATGCCAGGGTGGGGAAGTTGCGGAGCTGTTGCAGGGGACACAGTACGGGCTCAGAGAACGCCCCGACGTGTCCCAAGCCTCCGTGGGAGCGCCGTGCCAGCCAGCCCAGCTTCCCAGGGCCACGGTCCTGCGGCAGAGGCTTAGGCCCAGAATTTGCTCACTGGGAGCCACAACATGGTCACCTGCTTAGTGGGTGAGGGAAAAGCTGTGGGTGTTGTCTATCTGGACTTTAGTAAAGCCTTTGACAGCCTTTCCCCCAGCACTCCCCTGGAGAAACTGGCTGCTCACGGCTCGGATGGGCATACGCTTTGCTGGGTAAAACACTGGCTGGAAGGCCGGGCCCAGAGAGTGGTGGTGAATGGAGTTCATTGCAGTTGGCGGCCGGTCACGAGTGGTGTCCCCCAGGGCTCGGTACTGGGCCAGTCCTGTTTAACATCTTCATCAGGGATCGGGATGAGGGGATGGAGTGCCCCCTCAGTCAGTTTGCAGAGGACACCAAGCTGGGTGGGAGTGTTGATCTGCCTGAGGGTAGGGAGGCTCTGCAGAGGGCTTTAGACAGAGGAGATGGATGGGCCAAGGCAAACTGTAGGAGTTTCACTAAAGAGAGGGACCTGGGGGTGGTGACTGATGGCCGGTTGAACACGAGCCAGCACGTGCCCAGGTGGCCAAGAAGGCCAACGGCATCCTGGCCTGCATCAGGACTAGTGTAGCCAGTCGGACCAGGGAGGTCATTCTACCCCTCTGCTCGGCACTGCTGAGGCCGCATCTTGAGTACTGTGTTCAGGTTTGGGCCCCTCACCACAAGAAGGACATTGACACGCTGGAGCGTGTCCAAAGAAGGGCAGTGAAGGTGGTGAGGGGTCTGGAGCACGTGTCTTCTGAGGAGCAGCTGAGGGAACTGGGGGTGTTTAGCCTGGAGAAAAGGAGGCTGAGGGGAGACCTTCTCGCTCTCTACAACTATGTGAAAGGAGTTTCCAGAGAGGTGGGAGTGGACCTGTTCTGTCAAGTAACGGGACAGAACAAGAGGAAATGGCTTCAAGATGCGCCAGGGGAAGTTTAGATTGGCTGTTAGGAAGAATTTCTTTACTGTGAGGGTCATGAGGCATTGGAACACGTTACCCAGGGCAGTGGTGGAGTCCCCATCCCTGGAGGTATTTAAAGGTCATGTAGACATAATGCTCAGGGACATGGTTTAGTGGCGGGCTCGTCAGCGTTAGGGTAAGGGGTGGACTAGATGATCTTACAGGGCTTTTCCAGTCTAGGAGAGTCTGTGATTCTGTGATTCTAACTCAGTTTATGCCATTTGGTGTCCATCTAGGCGAGAGGGCATTGAAATGCACGTTGTTAGGAAAGCGCAGTTAGTATAACACAGCCCTACGTTTCAATTTCAATTCAATTCTTTGCCATACGTTTCAATCCATTTGAGAGTTACTTGGGAGCAGAGCAATTTGTTTTAACCATTAATCATTAGTTGTGAAATCAAGGATAAATGTGGTCCAAATTTCGAGAGCCAACCATGTTTCCTCAGCACTTCCATGTGCATTTGCTGGGTCAATGCTTTCACAAGCAGCAGAACGGTTTGAAAGAACAAGCTGTGAACAATCATGGGATTTAAACACAACAATTTCTTTTGAGGAAACAAAAACTGTTTTTCGGGGGCTTTAGTAAGTTCCAGTAAAACTATGGTCCATTACTGAACTCCTTTGGCTGGGGGGATGTATTACCCAAACTCTCTTACCAGTTCTTCTTCACACTCATCCCGTGCGAGACCCTCTTCCTCACCCTCGTCCCCGTTCAGCGGCTCCTCTGTGTTGACCTCTGCCTCTGATGCCGTGTCTTCCTGCGAGATTTCGCTTTTGCTGCCATCCGCCTTCTTCCGTACCTCTGTGAGAGCAAGAGCCGAGCCACCAGGATCAGGGTCTGGGGGGGGGCAATGCCCGGAGCCTGATGACACTAATCCAGTGGGCCCCAAATTCAGTTGGGAGGTAAATAACGGATCGGGGGGGGGGCGTGAGCATGTGAACTGTCTGGTGGGCCAAAGCGCCTGCTTCTTAAATAGCTGCCGGGGGGGGGTGGGGAGGAGGGTGTTCTGCAATGGGAAGTTTTGTGGATTTTGAGTAAGCTGCCTGAAAGCAACCCCGAATGGGACAGAGCAGGTCATCATTCTGCATCCCTCCGGAATGTGTAGGAGGCAGATAGAATAGAACAGAATACAATAGGACAGAATAAGGAATAGAAGAGTAACAGAATAGGAATGGAATAGGAATGGAATAGGATAGGGATGGGATAGGACAGGACAGGACAGGACAGGATAGGGTAGGGTAGGGTAGGGTAGGGTAGGATAGGATAGGATAGGATAGGATAGGATAGGATAGGATAGGATAGGATAGGATAGGATAGGATGGGATGTCCTGAATAAGAGCATCTCCTTTTGACTCCCAAGCAGCAAGACATTTACAACATACCTTCATATGATGTTCCTGGTAGACACTTCCCAGTGCCTCCTTTAAAAATCTGGTGATCAGTATAAATAAGAAGGTATTGACAACATTTTTGCATTCTTTGGTAGCTTTAAACCTTTTGTTGGCTTTCCTTTACATTATTTGTCTCTGATAATAGATACTACATGATTCACTTTTGTTTTGCAAGTCTTTGGCCAGGACTTCTGTATAATTTATGGAGTGTAGGCATAGGGGTTTGAAATTCACTCTTTCACAGGATGAGCTTAGAGGAGGGATGTGGTATTTGAGACCTGCTGCCAATCCAGTGCTGAATTTCCCATTGATGGCACATTAATTCAAATTATTTTTCACAAGGGAAGGGAAGGGAAGGGAAGGGAAGGGAAGGGAAGGGAAGGGAAGGGAAGGGAAGGGAAGGGAAGGGAAGGGAAGGGAAGGGAAGGGAAGGAAAGGGAAGGGAAGGGAAGGGAAGGGAAGGGAAGGGCAGAAGGAGGAATAGGAATGGAATGGAATAGAATTAGAATAGAATAGGAACAGGCATAGAATAAAGTAGGAACAGAATAATAGAAAAAAAGGCAAACTAAAAAATATAAAATGTATGACAAAAAAAATCTCATAATTTTAAAAACCAATTCCATAATTTGGGGAATTTTGGCATGTAATTTTGGCCTGTGATTTCCCCCTGGAACCTGGGGGTCGACACTTCACCGTCACAGCCCGGAGGATGCTCTAAGCCATGACGGTTTCAAGGCCGGCTCCGCAGGGCGCTTCCCCGCACCCTCTGCCTGTTCCGGACCAGCCCCGCGGCACCCGCGCGCACCCAACCGACCTGCGGACAGCTTCTGTTCTTCAGCGATCTGCTCCAGCCGGCCCAGGAGAGCATCGATGTTGGATTTGATCTGTGTCAGCTCAGTTTTGATTGTTTGCAGCTCGCTGCACTTCACTTGGAGGAAGGAAGGAAGGAAAAAAAGATATTTAGTGCCCCATAGAGCATCCGAGGTGCCTGCCTCACCCCTCTGCCCAAGTCACCTCACCGAGCAGGGTAAAAGTCAACTAGAAACCCCACGCCAGGAACATACTCCTTGCACCCTGGGGGGGGCAACGTGCAGTGATGCTCACACCTCGCTGCATCTGGGCTTGTCTACGCTGGAAGGAGCCGTGGTGAGTGGTGCACAGGGCACCCTGCAGCAGCGGGGGCTTGGTGGGCAGGCGAGGAGAGGGTGGCTTTGCACAGAGCAGCATCGTGCCCGCCTCCACCGCCAGCCCTCGCTGCCTTCTTGCCTCTTATGGCACCAGCAGGGGCTGAGGGTGGTTGTATACACCCCAAAAAGCCCGGGTGTCTGTTGTCCAGGCACGTTGTGGAGGCGGACGCCAGGCTTTGGCACCTTCCCCTGCTTCAACTCGCAGCCTGCAGGCTCCTGAAAGGCTTGGGCTGTTGTTTCCAGATGTTTTGGGTTTTTTTTTAAGGTTTTTCCCTGGGAGCATGCGGCCCCGTGGGTGAACGCCTGGGGACGGGAGGTCCATGCACACACCGGTCTCCGCACCGTCCCGCTGCACCCCACGCACACACTCACGCTTCAGCTTGGCCGAGCTGTTGGCGATGGCAGCCGATCTGGCGAAGAGCTTGACGGGGAGTGTCGCCTTCACACGGCGGACCAGGGGGATGGTGACCCGCGGCCGCTTCACAGGAACCACCCTGGGCACCGGAGAGACCCGGCCCCGGTACTCGAAGAGCCTGGAGCAGGAGGAGGGATGAAGGGAGGCTGAAGCAGCCCCGCCACATCCCCAGCCCTGCCGTGCTGCCCATCGGGTGCCACAAACCCAAGCAGGGCTGGCGGTGAGCCGGGGCACAGCCTGGCCATCCCACCCCACAGAAAAGCCCTTTGGCTGATGACTCCCCTGCTCACCTGTCGTAGAAGTCGTCTCTGTAATAGTCATAGTCAAAGTCGTAGCCGCTGCAGAGACAGAGTCAGGATGGCACAGGTTAACGAGCGCTGGCAATTTATTATTATTACTCCCTCACCGCCTGCTGAGCCTTCCAGGTCCTTTATTTATTCCCCCTCCATAGGGGACCCCCCGAACTTCCACCTGGCAGGACGTGCACAGGCTGCGAGGGTCTGCAGGGAGGTGGGCTGAGCCCAGGAGAAAGATTTGGGGGAGGTTGAATGCACTGGACAGGGCGATGCTGGCAGCAGAGTGTCAACCTGGTCATCTCAAGGTGGAGCAAGAAGATGCGCGGGTGTATTAAAACCTACAAATGTTCTCATGGCACTGCTGACATCACGCCCTCTGCCTTTTGTACAGCGGGGCCGGGGCCGTGTCAGGAGGGCACTGCTCTGCCACCACCCTCGGATGATTTCTTTTTTCATAGCATATGTAATTGTTGGGGAGAAGTCAGGAAGAAGGTGATACTTACTAATTTAACATCTTTGCTGTCGAAGACGTTTAAACACCTCTCCTCGCAGCAAGACAATGGCCCTCATCCTGTTTTCTTAAGCTCAGACTGCATTTTAACCCAAAAGTTGGAGCGATTCATTTCTCCCTCCCTGGGGACCCAGGAACACGCTTTCTCTCTTGCTGCAGCTGGTTTCTCACAAGGCAACACAACCCGGTGGTTACAGTGGGCAATCACAGCTCTTCAGAGGCAAGATCGGCTCTGGGGCCGCCTGATGCTCCAGCACACTCTGAGCGTACCGGTCACCCCCAGCTCAACTCAGCGGTGGGGTCCCGTGTGTGCCACTGGCTGAATTAATGCCGGTTAAATAAGAACTTACTCTGCCATTCCCTGCTCTCTGCTCTGAATAAAGAGAATGGTTGTTGCAGCCCGTCAAAGCAAAGAGTCTGTCCTGCATCGTGAAACCGTTGGAAGTGGCTTATTAAAAAAAAAAAAGAAAGAATCTAATGGGAAGAAACAAAGAGCGATGGGGAGAAGGAAGGACTGAGCCAGGAGAAACTGGGGGATGGGGAGAGGGAAGGATGAGTGCTCAAGTACGTAGCTGAGAGCAAATTTGGTGTCCTACATCTTAGGCAACAAGGGACAAGAAGACCGCGTGGCTGGCCAGGATGGCCGATGGGAAGCGTGGTTCAGACCAGAAATTCCAGGCTTGACCCAGGATGCCTGTCCTGCCTGTGCTGGCATTGGGCTTCCCACCCAATGTTTACCTTCAGTAACTGGTTTCTTAAATGTTTTTTTTTCCGTGCTCCTGGGATGCCCCGTGGGTTCCCCAGAAGCCTGTGGCAGCATGCGGAGCCTCAGCCTATGCCTCGGAGGGGGACCTGAAGCACACGTTGGATGGTTGGAGACACCAGGACTCCTCTGGGGCCAAAGAGAATTGGTGCAAGGGGTTAAGGACGACAAGATGGCATTTGCACCTCCCGCCTCTTTTGGGGTTTGCTGCCACCATCATGCACCGCCACGGTGACTTCAAGAGAGGAGGCATTTTAACAAAGCTGGACCTTATCTCTGAGCAGCCACTGCCCATGGCATCCGGTCAGGATGCCGAACGCAGGGTCTCGCTGCCCAGCAAGCAGCACTGGTGGGGTGGGTTGGGGGAAATGTGACTGTGGAGGCGTTATCACTATAAGCCTTACGAATTTAATTGCGTGATGAAAAAAATAGCCATTTTGCTGACAAGTCACAGCACAGACAAATTTCAACATCTTCTCAGCCTTGGTGTCCTCCCTCTCTGACCTGACTTGTAGGCAACATTTCTGCTGGGCTCACGGGGGAGAACTGAAGCTCTCACAGCCTTCTGTCCCAGCCCCTGCGTGAGCTGTGTTTATTCCCTGTTGTGCTTTTCTGAACTGAAAGGGAAAGGTAATTCCCACCACGTCAGCTCCTGCCGGAATAGAACCAGCCTGTTCGTACAGCTGAGGAAACGGGCAGAACGGGATGAAGAAATGTGTTTTCATGCAGATTTTCATGACTGGTAACTTGATTTTCATTCTGGAAATAAAGAAAATCTCCAAGAAAACAGCTCATCTCGGCCCGCCAATCTGGTTTGATCACCAAGGATGTTTGACTCCCGTTCTGTTTGGATCCAATAAACACAGAAGGCACTCAAAATAGGAAGTCATTTGAAAGGGAAAATTGAGCTGGGATGCTTCTCTGCTGTCTGACTCCCTCCTCTTTTTTTTTTTTTTTTTTTTTTTTTTTTTTTTTTTTTTTTTTTTTTTTTTTTTTTTTTTTTTTTTTTTTTTTTTTCCCCCCTCCCTTACATGCAACTTAAATGAAATTGCTGCAATTTTGTTGTATTTGCTAATCCTGACAGGCTCCGGTGAACTGGTTCTGGCTAGCTCCAGCAACGCCCTGGAGCCAATGTTCTCTGCAGCCACAGGCAAGAGAAGACAGTGGCATCTCCCTGCGGCTCAAGGACCCCCAGTGGGATGAAGCAGTGTCTTTATTCGCAGCAAAACCTCCCTCCATGGGCTGTTGCTCTTGCTGGGAAGCTCGCTGTGGCCTGGAGACCATGAGGCAGCTTTTGACCATTTGCTTGTAAACAACACAAAGCCTGGGGGCGTTTGGCAAAATTTTGCAACGCCCGTGCTCCTTTCTTCTTGCTCTATTCAGGCTCTTGGTCTGAGCTGACTTTTCTTCCAAGCCTTCACTCCCCGGTGGGAGCCCTGCTGGTATAGCTGTGGACACTGTGGGCTCAGCACATGGCCGGCTCGCTGGAGCTCCATCTCCAACAACATTGCACAGGCATCGCCCTGATGCTGTCAGCGCTGTCCTGGCCAAAGCCATGCATCTAGGAACAAGCAATAAAGCCCCAAAGGGGCTCTGTGTCCATCACTGACTCTCCCCTGTGGCGTTTGGGCACCTCCGCCTTACGCCTGGGCTCGGCTCCAGCAGCAACAGGACGAAGCCCAGCCTCAAGTACCTGTAGATCCAACTGGGTACAGACTGGAGAAGGATGGAGAAGCCTAAAACCTCAGATGAAGTCCTAAGTCTTTTCCAAAACTAGTCAAAACAGAGGTTTGGTATATGAAGTGGCTAATAAACACGATAAATGCTATTTGCAGTAGGGAATGTGTGAGCAAAGCTGGGCAGCCTTGTGTTTTTCTGGTGGAAATCACTACTGGCCTGATCTTCAGGGCAGTGGGTCCAAGAGCATCTCCTAATATTTGTGGGTGAAAAGCAAGGGTAGGGGGTGGGGTTACTCCTGCCCTGGCTCTGAATCCTCAGGGGATTGGAGACACTTCCACCCACTTCAAAAGGAATTAGGGGCATAATTATCCTTAGGGAGCTGGTCCTGACTTCCCAAAACCAGTGGGATTCATCTCACTTCGCTTCAGACACTGGGAATGTAAAGAGAGAAATCCAAGCCAGGAGGAAAAGAGGCAGTTTCAGGTCATGGTACATCACATCCAAAGGCAGACATCTAAACTACCATCAGGTGAAGAACTGTCCTTTTATCCAGCAAGCGTAAAGGGAGTCCGGACAAGCAGACCACATAAAAGCCTTGACAGCACAGAGGGCTGAACTCACGTGAGATGAACCCAACCTTAGACTCAGTGCGGTGCGGGATGGCAAATACTCTGATCTCCACCTTTGGCAGTACCGCCTGCAATCCCTGCTAACCATGAGACAGCCCTCAAGGAAGGCAGTGGGCTGAAATGAGGGATTTTCAGAAGTCTGTGAGTATAGGACCCTGCTATGACACACCAGTCAGGTCATGGCTTGACAGATGGGTGCTGGCTGGATGCTTTTACCAGCATCCTTGGAAGTCAGGCGTTGAGATAAAAGCAAGTCTTCCAACATGAATGCAGAAAAAACGGTAGTAAAAAAAGTGGGTGCCTTAACGCGGGTGATTTATCTGGATGTCGTGTGCCTGAAAATTTCACTGCACGTAGGATAAACCTTCCTGAGACTGACGGATCATTTTTCAGCGACCTGGCAGGGCTTCCTTTATGTATAGGAATAATTTTTGCCGTTTTTCAATCCGTCGGTGACATCGCGCCCTTTAAAAATCAAGCAGGGACAACCCGAGGTGAGAGGTGGCAGAAGGCTGCAAGGCTGTGTCAAGTTAACACGATGCTTCCACCACCTTCTGCTTTGTTTTTCTTTAGAAATTAAATAACACCTATTAATGACTCACAAAGGTTCAAAATCCAAATATTCCTAATGGAAGGGCAATTGTTTGTATGTGTTGCCTTTACATTTGCGGCGCCTTTTCTGAGCAGGTACCAGAGCAGCAAGTGTACGTTTGAGTGGCTGTGCTTTTAATTAGAGGCTGCCAGCCCCGCACCGATAATCACCAGTGCCACGTCGTGCTCAGCTCGCATCCTTCTGCTAACTGCACAACCTTCATTTATTGCAGCAGTCGAAATGATACCCGCTGGAAAGCTACTTGGAAAAATCTGGCATCGATCAAGCAGTGAGCCGGTAAGATCTTGGGTATCTGGTGTGTGATTCCTTCCTCCTGCAAACAGCCAAGGTAGCAGGAAGCCGGGAGAGAAACGTGGGAAGGGAGCCCGGCATTTCAGAGACGCCGGGGCTGCTGAGGCTGGGATGGCGAGCACATCCCTGCTGGGTCTGCTGGGTTGGGTACCACTGCTGACCTCCCGGGGGTGTTTCTGATCCCCGCGCGTGTGGGTTTGGCACCAGGGCTTGCTGGGGTGTCACTGCTCCCAGCACCACTGTGGAGACGTGGGAGGAGTGGATCTGTAGGGAGACAGGTTACCAACAGCTTTCTGCCGGGATCGGAATGGGTACAACAAGGGCCGCGAATGCCAGCTGAGCTGGAGGGACGTTGTCCGCTTGCACCTGCAGACTGGGAAAATAAGTCAGCGGTGGCTTGTGTCTGTCACCATTTTGGAGACGGTTCCTTGGGCCACTGAGCTGCCAGACCCTCGGCTGCTCTTGTAGTTCTTGCTTAGGTTGTCCTCACTGTCCTTTTGGCTACAGAGCAACGCCAGCACCGGTGTTACAGGGAAGGGCAGAGCTTTGTGCCTCCAAAGGTCAAGTGCAGCACTGGCAGACCCCCCCTACCCTGGGGCAGAGCCAATGTCACTTCCCCACCCGGGGCAACAAGCAGCCGACTCGTAGCACATCAGGATCCGCTGGCACCGACTTAAGGTGGCCCCAGATGCCCCGGGAAATCCTGGCTACGCAGGCAAAAAAAAGGATTGCCGGAAGGCAAAAGGTTTTGAGACACAGTGTGTGAATGGGGGACATGGTCAAAATACAAGTGCATTTTCCAGCCATCCTCACTAACTCATTTGCAGGTCTCCGTGCCGTCCCCGTTCAGCAGCGGTGGCCGGGGTGGCAGGCAGGAGCACCCAGGGGACCTCCCAGCTGCAAAGGGATGCTCTGGCAAAAGCCAGAGGCAGAGGGAGGGAGGGCCTGAAGAACCAGAGAGATCGGGGGAGAGCAGTGATGACAGCAAGGATTTATACTAACTGAAGGTTGCTCTTGCGGAGAGACCTGAGAAAATTTATGCCAGCATGAACCTGGGTGTGCATTTTACCTGTCGGAGGTAGGTGGGAGGCTACAGCCCAAAGGATTTCTATTAGACACCCATATACCTGCCCTGGGCTGGTGGGTCAAGTAAGACTGTCAAGATTGTTGCCTCCTCTATGTCCAAAATGAGATTCCCTTCCCCCCTTCCCCTTTCCCCCTTCCCTTCCCTTCCCTTCCCTTCCCTTCCCTTCCCTTCCATTCCCCTGTCTCCTACAGTCTTGGAATGAGGCAAAGTAAAACCCAACCTTTGAAAAAAATAATCTTCTGTGTTTAACACAGCATTTCCATAAATTACAGCGCTGTGATTTTTGAAGTCTAACATTTAGAAAAATTTACGATGGTTGGGGAAGCTGTAACCACGGCTCACTGCAAACCCGGCTTCCCCGCTTGCCGTGAGATAGCCTAAGTTCTGCTCCTCCAGATGGCAACGTTTAAATCTGTCACCAATCTGGGAAGAAATATTGCCAAAGCTCGGAGCAGTGTAGTTCTCTGGCCCGTATTTTAGCATAGCCATATTGGTGGGAGGAAGCAAACATCTCTCATTCGCTCTCTTTTCATCTACATGGCAGCCTGGAAGTCTGAAATATTGGTCATTCCACCAGAAATGGATTAGCGGTCAAGGCACGGACCAAGAGTAAATGAAACGCTCTTTATTGTGAGACGCATGGAATGAATTGATTTGCATTATGGCTACCAGCACCACGTAAGTAGCGTACGCGCAGCTGAATGGAAAGATTTGTGTCATCTCTATTTCCATACATCAGCCTGGGGAATGCTCAGAGTGCACTTCCCCTGGAGCGGCGTCCCCTGTGAATCCAGAGGGCCAAGTTCTGGTGAAGGGCCAAACTGGGAGGAAAAATTTGCCTGGTGAGAGCTGCAAAGGAAGAGCTCAGCTGAGAGGCTCGGGAAAGGTCTCAACAGACGCCTTGGGGGTGGTGGTGGGAGGGCTGCTGAAGCTCTGCTGGGTTTGCCTATGCCAGAAGAGTGTTGCCACCACTGCAGTTTGCCATTTCGCAGCACACCGGTGTTGGACTGCGTGGCTGAGTCTGAATCATAGCTTTTTCATTTCTCTTCATCCCTCTCACTTTTTTTCTTTTTTGTAGAAAAATCTACAGTTCTCTCATGATTTCCCTTTTTACGACACCCACCTATAACCCTGATACTGATTTAAGCCTTTTCTTCCCAACATCATACCTTCTAAATCCTGATTCAGTGCCCCAGTGTCTGTACCATGAGACTGGCATAAAAAATCCCATTGCGGGATCCTGTTATTTGGTTTTGGGTTTTTGAAGGGTAGTCTTCCAAATACCTTTTAAAGTTTTCCCTTCTGCAAGCTCAGGAGCAAGTGCATCTTGAGAAAGTCTCTGGAGCAGGCAACAGTGGCATTGAAGGCTCTCTCTGACATCTGCAACACCCCACACTTCCCACAGACCTCCTCCATGTCCCACTTGTCCCTCCAGTTCCCTTGATCCCCTGGTCACTGCTCTGCAGTACAGGTTCCTACGGGGTTTCCCACCTCCTTGGTCCACCTCCATTTGTGGAGAAGCCAAAGGGCTTTCTTCTTTTCTTCTCTCCCTTTCCCTGTCATTTGTCTCTTGCCCTTTTCTCCAGTGTCTTTTCCTAAATTATCTCTGTTCCCTGTTCTCCTCCAAGACCCAACGTGTGCCCCACTCCGACTCCCCAGCTGGAGGAGCTGGGGTGGAGGGGAGTGTTCCCCTTGTTAGACCTCTTTCAAGACCTCTGATGGGGTTAAAGCAGGTACCGCCTGCCTTTCTCCAATGATCTCCAGGTCCAACACCATTCACAGGTTGGACCACGTCCAGGTGGAGTTCCCCAGCGCCATGGGTGCTGGCCAACCTTGGGTCTTGCTGGCTCTCCTCCCTGCAGTCTACCCCTGAGGGGCATTGCAAAGCCCAAGAAGACCATGGGAAGAGAAGATCTGAACGTGGCAGTGGTGGCCCAGAGCTGCCCTGGGGTAGGGACCGGGGAGCTGAGGGCAGCAGCCTGCGGGGTGGGAAGATCAGCCCCAGCCAGAAGGCAAACACCAGCCCGGACACCTCGCCGTGGGGAGGTGGCCTGGTGGAGACCTACCTGTACAACGCGGAGGCTGCTCTCTTCAGCCCTTTCGGTCTGTTGGGTTTAGGTTCCCCGGCCATGTTGATATCTGCAACGAACAGACACGCAGCAGTGACGCGGCATGGCACGGCCACGCTCACCGGCAGCCGTACCCGACCACGGAGCAAGGCAGGCTGTGGACAACCCTGCCATCAGCAGAAATGAACTCCTCCACACCTCCCACCACATTTCCACCTGCTTTTAGCCTGTCTGGGGCACTGCTGCACCTCCACAAGAAGGAAAAGATATTCTTGCACTTGGCAAGCCTCTTCCTTTTCCTTTACAAAGCTACTAACCATTTATTTCTGGAGTCAACGCCCTGCGCGCGGTCTAACCCCCGCACACAAATTCAGGACAGGCTTCTCAGGAGAACTCGGTGCTGTTATGAGAAGGCACGGACAATATATAAAACCTGCTGCATGCTGCGAACCGCTCACAATTTATCCCTTGCTCCTTCTGGAATAAAAATGAGCGCTGAGCACGAGGCAGCCGGGCAGCGCTGCGGACTGGGCTGTGATAAAAGCCGCACAGGGTGCAGGCACACGCCTGCGGCCACCCCGGCTGGTCTTCTTGGCGGAGCATCTTCTACCAGGGGAGGTGAGAATGAGCTCTCCTAATCCGCCAAGGAAATTTCTCGCCTCGGCCTCGGTGTCAAACGTGCTTTTGACGTGAGAATAAAGTGATACAGCCAATTTCGCGGAGGCTGCCAAGAGCCTGGCAATCTGATGCTGAGGGTGGCCCCGGGACTGCAGAGAGGTGAGCTACTGGGAGCAGGAGGCCTCACCTCCTCTTTGTTTCTTGGCCCAGGAGTGAGCAAATTCCCTGCTGGCTTCTCCCATCAGCCCTCAACTTTTTCTGTTCATAGAATCATAGAATCATAGAATGGTTTAGGTCGGAAGGGACCTTGAAGACCATCCAGTTCCAACCCCCCTGCCCTGGGCAGAGACACCTCCCACCAGCCCAGGTTGCTCCAAGCCCCGTCCAACCTGGCCTTGAACACCTCCAGGGATGGGGCAGCCACAGCTTCTCGGGGCAACCTGCCCCAGGGGCTCACCGCCCTCACAGGAGAGAATTCCTTCCTAATATAAATCTCCCCTCTTCCAGTTTGAAGCCATTCCCCCTTGTCCTATCACTACATGCCCTTGGAAAAAGTCCCTCTCCAATTTTCCTGGAGGAAAGCTTTTCCAGCTTTTCTGTTCTTCAGGTCCTTTCTGTCTAAGTAGACGTCAGACCTCTGGGCATGCCACATCTGAGCCAAGCAAGACAGGATTTCCTTACGTAGACCAAAAGCCCTGTTCGCACTGAGCTGGACACGGGCTGCCCCACAGCATTGGGACAGGTCCTTGTGCTGAGCTGGTGGTGCATGTTACAGCCTCTGAGGTGCAGGTGGACTTGGAGGTCTCCATCTGGGGCTCAGGGTTCGTGGATCTGTGACCACAAAGTGGAGTATTAAAGTTCTCACCTCTTCAGGACTCGCAGGATATGCCACAAAACTCAGCAGGTTTAAGCTTACTAATTGTTGCTCTTTTCATGCCGCATGAAAGGACTTTATGGAGAAAGGTGGCCAGGCTGGTCTGCTCAGCAAGATAAAGAGCTTGCAAAGCGACCCAAAGGGAAGAGCATACTGACTTCCTTACTAACCAAGAAAATCATCTTCAGGAACACAGGAAAGCTGCGGCACTGCCAAACCAACCTGAGCAGGAGGGGTACAGGCTGCACGCGTCGGACACGGCTCTGGAGGAGCATGGACATGCTCCCACCACCCAAAGGTCTTGATATGCCATCCCCCGGACTGCCTTTTAGGGTCTAGCCAGAGACATCATTCCTACTGAAGCTGGAGCTGACGCTTAGCCTGTTTCTAAGCTTGCGTGACGGATGTGGTATTAGGGTGTCGCTCAGCCGTTTCACTGAGTGTTCCTCTGGAGGCACATTCCGATCAGAGCGTGTGGTTTCTTTACTGCCTCTCCTCCTCCATCCTCCCGTACGCAGCCGCTAAGGGGGACGCAGAAGAGCGCTGAGGCTGAACGCAAGGAAGGACGCGCGTGGCCACAGGACAGGTCCCTGGACAACTGCACCCAGAACGTGATGCATGCGGGCGCCTTTCTGAGTCTGTTGAGCGATGCAACGCTTCCAGCACTGCTGTTTGCTGTAAAGGAAGAGAGGAATAAATGCTTCCTTGGTGCATCCCAGAGCACATCCCCGCTCAGCTCCAGTCCTCTTGATGTTCGCAAACCCTTTTTGCTGTCAGGGCGCATCTTGCCAGCTGCCAGTCACTTCTCCTGCAAAACAGAGAGCTAATGACAGCAGCGTGCTGATTAACACCCTTCAGGGGAGATGCGACGAAAGCCCAATGGTGGATAATGACAACAATTAGCTCAGTTTGCTGGTATGCACTGCTAGAAATAGCACCGCGGAGCCTTCATTGGTGCATGCAGACAGGCCAGGAAATTTATATTTGCAACCTATAGCGATGATGAGCAGTCAGATCCCTCAGGATTCCCTTGAGAGTGAAGATGGAGAGACAGGAGCTCAGCATGCACATCGGCCTGGAGAGATTTTGCATCTTGTTCCCATTCCGACATCCATCGCTGAATCCATCCGCCCACCCCAAGGTGGTATTATCCCTCCTGCGCATATCCCAGCACCTTTGCCCACATTAAATGGGGAGGTCGTGCTATGTGTAGCCAACAAGGCAGGGTCAGGTTATGGTGTGGATCAGCTTCCAGCGCAGGGCTCCCTCACCGCAATGGTAACTGCCTCCTGTGGTGACTGGGGCATCTGGGAGCCCCTGGAGAAAGCACAGAGGTTGCCAGGACCTGCCTGGCAGAGCAGTTCATGTCCCAGCAGACGATGGGCTACAGATGATTTCAAACACCTCCATTCTGTGATGCGTTCAGTATCTTGCTGATCGGTTAAAATGCACGTTTGATTGTTTGCGTATCTGGTGACAAAGGAAGAAGGAAAAAAGAAAAAAAAGGAAGAAATGCTATTAGACTGCTTAGCTTGAGAGCTGACCTTAGCTGGGAGATGAGAGCTAGAAAGATGCTGATGCTTTGCTCGTTCATTCTGGTATGTGCTGGAAAGTGTTACCCGCAAATCCCCATTGGCACTCGGGAGCAGACGGAGGGCTGAACCCTCCTGCCACCACCAGCTCGTGTAGCTGTCCCACAGCAGTGCCGCCAGCTCGTCCCCTGCAGGGGCAAGTACCGCTGAGAGCTGGAGTCATCGACTTCAGAGTTTCTGCCAGGACCTGCTCTTCTGTGACCTGTTAGAAGGAGTTGCAAGAGCCTTGCCGTATGCTGGGGGAGATACGAGATCCTTAGACCACATGCCCAGTCAGACCAGTCAGGCACAGCACACGCAAAACTGTGATGCTTTCCCACAACATTGCTTAAACGTTGGTGCAAATTCTCTTTCCCATCTGAACGGCCGAGGCAGGAAAGGCAGTTTCACTCGAACTGCGCCACGCCGGGCTGCTGCAACCAGGTCACTACAGCAAGGGCTTGCGGTGCTCCGGGCTCGGAGGGGGATGCTGTCCTGCTGAGGGACCACCTGCTGGCACTGGGGATGGGTGGCTTTGCCCTGTGGACAAGCTGCTGCCCCTGAGCAGGTTGGGGGTACTTCGCCCCTACACCGGGCACTGCCTTGAGCCAGTGGCGATTCCCCATGAGCCGTTTGCCCGGCTGTCGTGGTTTGCAGCTCTTCTGCAGGATCGCGTGGTTGTGCTCTGCTGAAGTTACTGGCTGGAGCTGCCAGGGCAGAAAGCAGCCTACCTTCCCGCTGCCCGCCCGGGGAGGGAAGCTTTACCATCACCTGGAAGGAACCCCCAAAACCCTGCCCATGAACAGAAGCACGGACAGTCTCTTCAGCAACGCGTCTGCCATGTCCCATCTTGTCCCTCCTCTCCATGTTCCTGTGTGGCCATCGCCTTCTCTTTTTTTTTTTAGGGGTGGGCTTTCAGCCTTATTTTGTGCAAAGATGTTTTCTAAGACGCTTCTAACGTTCAGCTCTTCTCTGCAGGATTCTCCCGAAAGGGGAGTGTCCCTGCGTTTATCCTGGTCCGTGAACAGCAATGGAAAACCCGCAGAGCTCTTCCGTGGGGAGACTGGCACATGAAGGCATGGCAGATGGAAGGGAACTGAATTTGCACCTCGTCCAGTACATGTATAGGACTCCCAGCTACATACAGTCCTTTTGTCTTGTTGGCACGCCAGACCTCTGGGACCAGCACTGAGAGGAGAGTAAGAGGTTCCTATCACAGTAAACCTCTCTTCAGCTCAGTGGGCAAAGTGGTGCCCGTCTCTTAGCTGCCTCTCCCGTGTCTGCCTGGAGCATCACAACGAGCTCCTTTGCTCCCCAAAGCCCTTTTCGTCCTATCTACCGGCAATGCCTGGGCTGGAAGCATCCCTGGCGCACTGCGCTTCGCCTCGCTCTGCAGCTCCGCTCTCTGGACTGTGAGAGAAGTGAAGAGAAGATTCTGGTATTTGAACAAACCACGGATGGAAACAGCACACTGTCTTAAAGATCAGGTCTAGCATACAACGTTTTATTTCCGACTGCTGTGCCAGGAGCAGGGTGGGAATGGGCTGGAAAACTCTTTCCTGGGTGCCCAATGCCTATCGTCTGCAGCAGGTTTGGAAATAATGATTTTTCATTAAAAATACCGTCTTCAGTTCCAATTCTCAGCTCGGAGCTGGTGACAAGAGCTTCTCAGCATGCGCCACTTCAGAGCAAACTGCAAAATCAGGATGCAGCTGGGAGCAGCTGGGACGGTTCTGTTTGCTGTTTCTTATCACACAGCAGTGCAGAGGAGAGACTGTCGTGTGTCGAGGGGCAGTTACCTCATTGAACACCAGCCGGCTCACGTCAGCCTGAGCTAGCCTGAGACAGACTATCGCCTCTCTTGCCCTGCAAAGGGTAAGGTCTGGTCCAGAAAGGGAACCAGACAATGCCTTTTCCCACCCTTGTTCTCCCCCACCAGATCAAGGACAAGAACATGGGATGATTCAGAACTGTGTTTTAGCTTCTGCGACTGCAGCCCATAACATGAGGTTTTGGGCCACAATGTCACAGCCCTGAAGGTACTAATAAGCCTGAATGGCCACGACCAGCCTCACTTCTGACCCCAACGTGGGACCCAGGAGCCTTCAGCCCCTACTGGAGCTGTGTGGTAGGAGTGCTGGTCTCCAGCCATACCTGTGCCTGGCTGTGGACCCTGCTGATCCCGATCCACGGGCTGACTTCCCAGCCTGGCTCCAACCTGCCTTGTCACTATGGACCTGCTCAGCCACAGAATCATAGAATGGTTTAGGTTGGAAGGGACCTTGAAGATCATCCAGTTCCACCCCCTGCCCTGGGTAGGGACACCTCCCACCAGCCCAGGTTGCCCAAGGCCACGTCCAGCCTGGCCGGAAACACCTCCAGGGATGGGGCCTCAACAACTTCTCTGGGTTGTGTCTGACTTGCTCACCATCATTGGACCCTGACCTGCAGATTGATGTCCCAGTTTGACCATGGACTGGCCATCCCTTGACTATCCCCAAGGAAGCAATCAACCTGTGTTTGACCTGGACACCCAAATAGCTTAAGAAAAGACTCACCCAGTGTCTGGCCAGCAAGCACCCGCCCATTCTCGCCCAGGACGGCGGCCCGCGCGTGCCTCTCGTTGGAGTACTGTACGAAGGCATAGCCCTTGTGAACGGAGCAGCCCACCACGCGGCCGTACTTGGAGAAAATGGTCTCCACATCGGACTTCTTGACCACGGCTGTGTTGAGATTGCCAATGAAGACTCTGGAGTTGATGGACTTGGGGTCATTCTTGTTTGTGATGTTGCTCGTCTGCACCTTCAATGACATCTTGAACACCTGAACGAAGAAAGCGAGAGTCAGGAAAAGTGGGAAGGGAATTGCTGGAGTTGTACAAAAAGGGGTGGGGGACAGATGTCCCAGCAAGCCTGGAGCCATGGAACTGGCTCCTCAACATCAGCCATTCACAGCTGGGGGCATCCCACCTTCAGAGAGCCCCTGTGTGCTGCGGAGGGGAATGTGGCAGCCAGTGCAAAACTGGAAACCTATTTATCTGACACTCTGGGTGTAAACCGGTTGCTTTTGGGGGACAAAACACGATTGAAATAAATTTTACATCTAAGTAAAAGCTTTAATGCTGTTACAGGAAAGCTTTTACCTCTCTATACTTCATTACAATTCAAAGCACTGCTCTTTTCAAAGCAGTTTGCATTCAGCGCCTTTATTCATGTCCACTTCTCCAGGCTTTCCCCCGCTGAGCACCTCCCAGTGCAGGGACAGCTGGGTCCCCGCGGATCCGCACCCGCAGCTGGACGAGGACTTGAGTTTTCTGGATGCAAATGAAGCGATTTAAGCATCGAAGCAGCCCATGTGCTTCTATCTGATACCTGCACTCTGCTGCCTGCCTGCGCGTTGTACACGCTGGGCTTGGAGCTGAATTTTTGTGCAAACAGGAGGTGTCACTGTTAGCTTGGGAATCACCACGCCAGCAGCCAGATCAGCTGGAAGCCACTCCAACCCGCTGCAAGGCGGTGATCCTCCAAGTTTCTTGCTTGGGGTATTTCATGGGCAGCCCCCGAGACCAGGCTTCACCTCTGAGGACCAAGGGACGGGGATGGCAAGGGACAGGGATGGAAAGGGTGTGAAATGAAAGCCAATCTGGCTGCCTATCAGGCTGCCCGCTCATGCTTCTGTGGCAAAAATTACAGCCGTCCAAAGACATCAGTTTGATTTTCGTCTTCCAGAAACAGTGGTGATGCTTTGGCACCGCTGTTGTGTGCTGCATACGTAGTGTGTGGTATTTACCCGGGAAAAGCCCGCTCAGAGCTGTGGAAGGTATTTTAATGGTGCGCATTGAGGTGCTGCTCTTCCCCAGCCCCTTCCAGCAGTGCCTGCAGGTACTCCCAGCACCCGTGGCGATGCCACCAGCGTTTCCACAACTCCAGGTGGTCACCAAGCCTGGCACAGGGGACGTAGTGCTACCGCAGGGCCACGGTGTCACCTCCAAGGTAGTCTCCAGCGTCTGCCCTGGCACTGGGAAGAGCTAAAACACCGCCTGGCTTTGGGGCTTTGGCTCTCTGGGCTCAAAGTCCAGGTTTGTCTGAGCAGCCTGGCCCAAGGGGACACGGTGGCAGCTGCCTGGCTGCATGGGTGCAGCTCCGGTGGACCTGGTCACCCTGGTGCCCAAGCCCTGGCAGGCTCCGCTTGCCCACAGCACAGCCTGCCCGAGGCACTGCCACCAGCAGCGTGCGATGCTCTGGTTTCGCTGAGCCCTAAGACACACAGGTAGTCTTCCCCACACCCCTCACTAGACAGGCACAGGCCTGGGAGAAAGCTGCAACCTGATGTGCTTTTTGGGGTTTCATCCAAGCCTTTCAAAGAACTTAGGTCCTCCTTTTTCTCTGTCTTCTCCTACACAGAGCTCCCACACAGGACATGAAATCTCTGGTTGCTCCTGTCTCCCTCTAAACCTGTTATGGGGGATGACTTCATTGTACCCATCTCACCCCTTTGCCAGGTGAGCCCCATTTTGGCTTCTTGGATGATGGACATCCTTCTGACGGAGCCTGTTCAGCCGCTGGCCGCTCAGGACACCTTGTGGGGCTGCTTCTGCCCATAGTCCCATTTTACCTGAGGGTACTTCCATCCCTCCACACAAGCACTGGTTCTGTGTCTCCAGGACTTGAAACTTCAGTCCAGCCTGGAGGCAAAGAGACAACAGAGGAGACTCGCCCAGCCCTGCACGCAGATGGCACCTGCAGCCCAACCGGGGGAGACACAGAGCAGTTGAACGCCGATTGCCATCAATGAGCTCTGAACAGACAAGCTATGATGTCCAGACCTCCACCTTTTGAATTTTCAGAGCACAAAGGACCGGACACTTGATTCCTTTCATTGTTTAAAGCCGGACCGTACAGAGCGTTAGAGATACCCGGCAAGGCTGATCCTCCACGGGGAGCAGAGGGACGATGCGATGGCTCAATAAATCCTGTCCGGCTCTAACCCCTGTGACTCTAGTAACCACTGAGGCTGGAAATGATCTCCCTGCTAAATCCAATCAAAAAACCAGTTAGACTTTGTCTGAGTCTGGCTCGTTATATTTTCCTTTTCAGTTCAAAAGAGATGGAGACTTTTGTTTTATTTTTTTAAAAACAATGCCTGGCAGCACAGCGTTCCTAAAAACAGTGGAAAAAATAACCAAAGGACAGGACTTTTAAAGGCATCTAAGCAAATGAAATCCTCACATCTTTGGCAAGTGGCACCTAACCTCTTCAGGTTGCTCAAAGGTTGAACCCAGTTATAATACTTCTTTAATGCTACCTATTTTAACATATTTTTGCAGTGC